AGCTGTCTCAATCCCTATTCCCGACGAAGTGCCTGTGATGACGATCACCTTCCCGACTAGCTTGCCCTCGACTGCTTCATCCTTGATAATCTGGAGAGCCGTTGGCCGAGCGTCACCGGGGCCAGCAGGGTTCGAATGAGCTTCTGCGTAGCGGGACATCGTGGTTGAATAGAATCTTTGGCAGGTTGAAACTGGGAAATGATCTGAATGAAAATGGTCTTGATGAGTTTAGGATTCAGCTTCTGGGAGCATCAGAGAACTATTTATCTTTTTTCGGCTTCAAACTTCTATCCCCAAGTTCACAGAATCTTGCTTCGCATTTCTAAGCACTCGGCTTTAGCCCCTAAAGTCCAGGACGCCGTCGACGAGAGTGATAATCAGAACATGTTTGTATTTCAAAGCAACGGACTTCTGAAGATCACGTCAGAGAAACTAAGTTTTTGTTGTCTTTCCATAGTTCAGAACTTCAGATCCTGACCTAGTTTGATGACCTTTTTGCCATTTCCGGCCTAGCAGCTAAATACGCAGTACCCACTGTGGATGAGAGTGATACTTAGAATGTGTTTGTATTTCAAAGCACCGGACTTCTGAAGATTATATTAGGCAGATTAGGTTTTCGTCGTCTTTCCATAGTTCAGATCTCTGACCTAGTGTGATGACACTTTTTGCTGTTTCCAGCCTAGCGCATCCCAGCTAAATTCGCGGACCCGCCTTCCAGGGTTGTAGTTGACTAGTTGCTGTAGGCTCGATGACATTTTCTCCTCTTTCGGCCTAGCTCGCGGGACTAGTTAGCCTTAATAAAAGGTTCGGACTTAACTAGCGCCAACCTTGATATCTCTTCGGAATCGCCATATGTATCACAGCTTACAGGGCCAAATTTCCTAGTGATAAATAGCGGAATCCTTGAGTTACTTCCATGCTAAAATACATTATAGGTTCCCTGCTAAAGAATGTTAGTTACGCGTGGCTAACTGGTTACAGTGAGGACGTCTTATTATAAGGTATCCACAATAAATAGAATATAGACCCATTTTACTGGTATCCTTTTTTCCAGCGGAGAATCGGCTCGACGTCAACCTGATCGGTAATTAGAAGGAGGGCCTCGGTGTGATTAGTGAACTCATTTGTTATGTTCAAAAGCCCGGAGAGGAGGCGTCGAATGGGTATGAGAAACCCTTGGCTTTATGCATTACACAACAGTCAGGCTTCCTCATCATATAACTCATATAAGGCGCATTTCGCCTTTTTTGTCTCAGTTGTCTAGATCCTGCCACTGGTCGGCCTCGACGACACATGTCATCTACAAGCATCCTAACTACGAAGATGTCTCTCCCGAAACCAACCATTCTTCTTATTCCCGGAGCCTGGCATCGGGGTAGCACTTTTGAACCAGTAGCAGCACTCCTACGGACACAGGGATATTCCGTGGAAACAATCACACTATTGTCCGTTGGTGGTCCAACATCAACGACAGTCGCCGATGATGCCGCCTACATCCAGAAAAGATATTTAGACGAGCTGATCTCCCAAGGGAAAGAAGTGGTTGTGGTCATGCACTCTTACGGCGGTATTCCTGGCACAGAATCCGTCCAGGGCCGCACACGCCGAGACATAGCTGCACAGGGTAAGAAGGGTGGAGTAGTGGCTCTCGTATACATGGCAGCGTTTCTCATCTCTGCGGGCCAATCGGTCGATTCGTTTCTTCCCGGCGGAGCAGCTTCAATCATGACCTTTGAAGTAAGTTAGGCTGGTGGTTCCATTGACTGGAGGATAACTGATATTTCGAAATTAATAGGGCGAGAAGTCATACTGCATCGACCCGATTCCCAAGTTCTATAATGATCTTGACGAAGACACGGCTAAAAAGTATGCTACTGAATTGGTTTATCACGCTAAACCGAGCTTCTTTACCCCACTCAACTATGAGGCTTATCGTGATGTGCCGACTACGTATCTCTTTTGTGAGAAAGACGCATGTTTTCCTTTGGCTGTGCAGCAGGCTATGGCAGCTATGCCCGGTGATGGGGTAGTGCGGACACGTACTTGTGCTGGAAGCCACTCAGCCATGCTCAGTATGCCAGAGGTTGTTGCTGATGTGATACAGACCGCCGCGAGTGACGCAGAGATTGTTAACTAGATTTAAAATTGATTAGAGATTGATGGGCTTCTTCCCATCCTTGATAGGGACGCAGCTGGCTTAAGTTTTTATCAATAGTCTGTTGTCATTGGAGAGGATAGTGTGACATAAAACACCCAAGGCTTTCACTTTCAAACTACACCTTCAGCTTTTGCAGAGTGTATATTTCAATTTCCGCCATATGACATTAAAAAAAGGTAGATTCTGTTATTCAGAACTTTGCCTCCCCTGCCTTCTCTACACTCAACCCTGCGGACGGGATAGGCAGCGACCCAGACTGTGCTGCAAGGCGGGCGACGTTTTCTCCCCGCACCTTTGAATGACTGTTGACGCTGGGAACTATGTAGAGACAGACATTAGTCTTGAGCAATCTGATTGTGGAAACCGAAGGGTATGAAGGCAGGCACCGCAGCTCCAGCACTTTTCTCTTCTCTCCCCTCTCGCGTCTCAGACTCTCAGTATTCGCCGCGGAACGCGCTCTTCCCCAAAAGTCTAGACTCTTGTCGCAGGCTGTATTAGGTTGTAACTTGTGTGGCCTTGTGTGGATCCGGAATCCAGTAAACCGCATTATGAATGCGGACCCGAGAGGCGGGTGTTCGTGTTGGGGTTCTCCCTTTCCCTTCATGTTTAACGCCTGATGACCCCAAACATAACCGTGGAGTACATTACAGTGTGGGCGATATGTTGCGGTGAACTTAATATCAACCCTTGATTATGGTATACTTTATTTGTACTTGCTATCGTCTGCCGTACCACGGCCGAAACGGGCTTCGGTGCGGGAGCCATTTACGATTACAAATCGTGCCCGCCTGATATCAACTTAGTTAGCTCTCACGACAGCGACGAAAACGTCGTCACCATCATTGCGAAGAGTACTAGCATCCGCCTCAAGTAAACATGCAGCAATCCAGGAGAAATACCATGACCAGTACAAATGCTTCGTCTACGGAACGAACATCGAAGCGTACTACTAAGGTGCCCGTTTCCGAGGTAGGTTTGAGACGATTCAGACATGTCTACTTGGCCGGCGGGATTCTGAGAGATTATAGCACCGAAGGCTACAATTACGACTGGCACAGCGAGCCTATCGCTACCGCAAGGAGGCAGCAGCCTTGTTCTTGCAGCATCGACTTGAACATCTGCAGACACAGATTCAGAACCTAAATCGGATGTTCGAAGCATACAACCATCAAATAGAAAGGTCCGGTTTATTATCTTTTGACGTGGCTGTCGAAAGGAAGCTGCAACAATTACGCTCGCAGTTTCTTGCAATTTCTGCTGCTGCAAATTCAAGTAACGAGGACAGCAGTGCAATTCAATTGGATGACATTGCATCGACTATGACCCAAGCGAGGAAACAGCGGGAGCATTCGCAGCAGTTAGAGGATGATCTTGAGTCGTCCACATCAAGACCGGTCAATGGTGGTCTCCATTTAGCTCGTCCGATCCCCTCGTTTAACAGTGCCGACTGCCAAGAAGACAACCCACGAGGTAAAACATCAGCCCAGAGTTATTCGTCCTTATCGACACCTACCCTGCATATTGTCAACCGTTTAGAATCAGTGCCATGCGCTGTAGATGACAGTGCTTTCCTTAATATTCTGTGTCGCTCACATCTTCTATCTTCTTCCACTGCCCCTTTTCGCGAGACGTCTTTTGAACGCCGGTTGCATCGAGCCTGTCTGAAAAACGGATATAACTTGTTGGTAGATCCGACCTCCGATCCAGACAATGTGAACCGGGTGTTCAGGCTCCAATTGACTCTGTCCACCCGGGATTCCATAGTCCAACAGGTGAAAGGGCTTCTGGAAGGTGGCTTAGACGAAGCCCTAGAGCTATGGGATATGCCTTTCTTCTTGCTAGGGGGCGCGGGGACTCACTATCCTCGAAGGGATCAAACAGGAAAACCTATCCTTCCTCCGAATGCCTTGCCGATAAGTAAACTCGCTGGTGCTTTTGTACATCAAAGAAAGGAGCCACTGCCCTTCCAGAACGACCATGACCTTCTGGCCGACCTTGGCCTCAATGGGGAGTGGCTAGATTCTCATGATGTGGAAGGTTATCTCAAGGAGAAAGGTATCTCCTTGAGTGCGGATACTGCATTTTGCAGAGTTCCTGCACGTAGTTCCTCAACAACATTCCGGCCTTCCGACATAACAGATGCCAATGCTCAACACGGCATTGGCATAGACGAATCAGCCCTGGGATATATGCTTCCTCATCATGCGGATTTTATGGAACCACAGTCGAGAGGATGGGGAGCAGGCATACAGGTACTTTTCCGTTTACCACCATTCACCAACGTTTGAATAACTGACCAATCTCGAAAACCGGCGCAGGATGTAGATCTTCTTCGAAATTATACCGATCCAAGCGGCTCTTGGGTCCTGGATGTGGGACTATTCATTGACCGTATGCACTTAGTGAACCCAGATTGGTTGCTATTACCCTCTGACAAGAACAGATCTTATTCAGTCCGGCATTTGCCTCGGTCGCTGCCCTGCGTTTCGCCGAGAAGACGTCGAGCATACATTCCGCCTCGCATTGAGTAGAAATTTTTTGGACTCTTCGATGTGATGGTGTTTATATTCACATAAATAATCCTGTGCCCACAGGATATGCGCATATCAAGCTTTGTTGTATACCTACCAGACTCCGGCTAGTCTGTGCTGACGGGCTAATTCGGACCATTTATCCGTCACTATAAAATACTAGTTGTTCTCAATGCTTGCCGCGTGAACCTGGCGCTACTTGGAATGGATTCATTGCATGTGACAGTTTGACGTTTCTGAATCTTATGATACCAAGCTCGACGTGCGATGTCAAACGTGCTACCTGATACACAAGGTTGCGAAAGCATATATCATTCGAGAATGGAGTCCCTATGATGGGGATGCACATGAGTCTTAGTTACCGCTCTACCGTCACGGTAGTCGTCCAGTAGGTTGTTAACTTTCAGCGCGTCAAGTCCGTCAATAACTTCAAAGTCTAACGGCCTCAGCTCGCCATTTTCGATCCAGCCTGGCAACTCCCCCCAGAACTTGGCAGCCAGCTCTTGGTGCAGGTCGCTAACTCCGAGAACTTGGTTTTTCTTGAAGCCAGCGGTCTTTGTAGCTGCAATTGCAGGATCAGCCTCTCCACGCACCAATGTTGCCAAAGACCCTTTCTTCCTGGTCGACAGAAGTGAGAGCGCCAGCCGGTGGCTGACACCACCCGAGTAAGCACCGTTGACCGTGTCAAAGGCGTACGACAATTCATCGCCAACTATCGCACGGATCTGATCTTCCACATCCGCTGCCTCCCGATCTATGATATGAGTAGCACCAAAGTCGCGGAGTGATTGGCCCCCATCGCTGCGGACCTTGGCTGTTGCAATGATCTTCCCAAAGCCTGCGAGACGAGAGAACTGGAGGGCAAACTTCCCACTATTAGAGCCACCTCCAATAATGACAATCGCTTCATTCGCGTAGTCCAAATCATGGCCCAGGAACTTTGGTGCTAATCCCAATCCCGACGAACTGAATAGAGCGATAAAACTCGCAATGGCATTGACGGGGAATGTCGCTGCCTGGTCAAAGCTAATATGGTGTGGTATGGGAGCAGCAAAGTTTGCGTCGAGGATGCAGAACTGCTGCAAGCCAGCTTGGTCAGGGCCACCCGACAGGATATTAGACTGGCCAACGATGCGATCTCCAACGGAGAGTCTTTGGACGTCTGGTCCTATCTTCTCGACAATACCGCTGATGTCATTTGCTAGGATCGCATGAGGCAAGTACTTCTCCACAAGTACACCTCGATCTCGACCCTACAACGGATTAGAATTCGACAAAATGTCAATTGTTCGACAAGTCTTCTCCACGATACCTTTTGGTCATGAGGATTGACTATGAGCTGTTAGCTTTTCTTTCCTACAAATATATGCATCAACGGGCCATACTTCCGGCTGCAATGATCCTCACAAGAACTTGATTCCCTTTTGGCTCAGGGATAGGTCGCCTGCCTAGTACCAGTGGCCTTTGGACCTCTTCGAGGAACAATGCTTGTTGTGTGTCCATTTCGTATAAAGACCTTGCTTGTCCCGGTGGGTTGTAGAAGGGAATTGAAAATATCAAAGAAAGTAGACAGAGGATGAACAGACAACCCATTGATCTAAGGCGAACAGCATACATAACTAGGTAGATAATCCTTAATCAGCCGAAAATGTGGGTATTTCTAATCAGGCCTCTTGACCTCGGCCAAGAACCGACATGATCGCTCATCTTCGTAGTGGAATCTCATTCCATCGCGAACTCTGGTAGCTGCTTTGATTACCTAGTCAAGGTCTAACAGGATCAACCACTGGTTGGGACAGTGCTAATGTTTGGCGAGACCTCCCACTCCTAGCCTCGGCTGATCTGCTCATCACTCATCGACGAATCTCGCCGAGTCAGTCCCTTCTACTTGGGACTCTCTCCGATATGACCACTATGTCCGATCGGACAAAACGAACATGTAATGGGAAGTTGCTTGAGAAAAGCAGAGTTTTCAGTCGCTTATTCATGGCTTCAATTTGTAATCATCGCTCATCAGCCCGTGTATTCATCAGCTTTCCATCTTGGGCTGGATTTGTGCCAATTTTTTGAAAGATCGGCTGTGAGACAGCGCATCGAACAGTATAAGAAGTAGCTCCATAGCGCGCGTAGGCGAGGAATTTGAGGGCATAGAAGCCATTGACTGCCATAATTTGCCCGTCAAGTATGATCGAGTTTTGCTTCCAACTACTGGCTGCAAGCTGCATGCATATCGTTGTACATGCAGCCTCTCGGGCGAACGATCCATTCAATGTACGCCCTTTTCATATTGAATTATCGGCTAGGATACCGCGAATGCTCGATCAGATCCAAAACACTCGGCTTCCTGAATGGTTTCCTTATTCCGGTGTTGACTCTTCCTTCGGGATAGACCTGGATGTCCTGAAAGCGTTGCGACGAGAATGGGTGACTGATTTCAACTGGAAAACAGAACAAGATTCGATGAACCAGTTTGTATAGACACCTTGATAAACAATCTCTTTTTCTGACATGACAGGTAGGTTCAATCACTACAAAACGCCAATTGAAAATCTAAGCATTCACTTCGTCTACGAGAAGTCCCCTGCGCCGAACGCCATACCGCTGCTTCTGGTCCATGGCTGGCCAGGATCATTTCTGGAATTCGCTCCGATCATCGATCAGTTGACCAAGGAAGCAACGACCTCTACAGGAAAAACTGTGTCGTTTGATGTTATTATACCGTCCCTCCCTGGTTTTGCTTTCTCATCCCCTCCTCCGCCCAGCTGGACGATTACAGATACAGCTCGTATATTAAACACGCTGATGGTAGATGTCCTGGGATATGAAACCTATGCAATACACGGAACGGACTGGGGTAGCGCTGTTTCCTATAATATGTACGACACATTTAACGCAACTATCGGTGCGGCACATTTTGTGTTCCTGCCCTTCTATCCGCAGACCCCAGGGGAACTTACTGCTGGGAATATCACACTCTCCAAAGCGGAGCAGGCCGAAGAGCAGAATGCGATGAACTGGGCTAACACGGGTGACGGGTACTTTATTGAACAAAGTACGAAGGTAAGGAAGATTCACATCGTTGTAAGTTGGGAATGTACACTGATTCCCGCTTATTGCAGTCTAATACGGTCGGCCTGGCACTTCATGATAATCCAGTAGGGCAACTGGCTTGGCTTGGAGAGAAATTCATGAACTGTGAGTGCACTCTCTTCACAACAACTGGCCGCCATTAATCCAATTATCGCGAAGGGTCCGATCCAAATGCCGGAACAGGGCCTTCCGTACTCAACCACAATGAGATTCTCCGCAGCGTGTCTTTATACTACCTCACTGGAACGTTCGCCTCGTCTGTTTTGATATATTCTCAGAACCCGAACACCTGGAAAACAGAGTACAGCAAAGCACGTAACGACGCACCGCTACTGTTTAGTTCATTCAAGTATAATGTTGGCTTTTGGCCCGCAAGGCTCGTTTCGAAGCTTGGAAACTTGGTGCTCTATAGAAGTTAGTATGCGCGGATTATCCTTCGAAAGATTCGCCTCTAACACGTATTAGACCACGATTTCGGAGGCCACTTCCCTGGTTTGGATAACCCGCCTGCTTTGCTGGAAGATCTTCGAGAGATTGGGTCTTTCTGGAGTAGATGAGTCTCTGAGACGATGGAATGCTTCCCTCATGTTAAGATTCCATGTCGACTCGACGTTTTATAAATCCTTTCTTAAGACATGGAAGGTTGGTTACCGTAAATTTAAAGAATGAGAGGGAGACTAATGTAGTAATATAGCTTGCGGTTGCTATCTTTGACTTTTTCATATTGTCTACATTTTTCCTTCTCTGTTCTTGCTGTTTCCTGTTGATTTTCACTGCTTTCCAGAATGAAATATAATATTGATTGAATAATTGACCTCGGAGTAAGATCTCACAAGCATTTAAGAGCGAACTCGTCGCTTATCAAGTATCTTGGAGGACTCGATGTTATACTCACACTCTCTGTCGCGTTAGCTACGGTAGCACGACTTTTAGCATGCAGGATCCTGTGTCTCCAGCAGGCTAAAACAATTATTTGCTAGGCATTGGCGTAGTCTGCGCTTCCGACGTACAGGTGAGCGACAGGCCCTGATCGTCGGAGCCCGTGGTCAGCCGTATGTACAAGATGTTGCGATCTGACCACTCTTATGTATCCATTGGACTCCTTGATTTTACTCCTTTTACATCACCTTGATTTAACAAGATTCACGTTTAACTCACTTAAGACCCTCATTTCGCCGTCAATGCTGCATCCTTTCTTTCTCAAGAATTTCCACAGCTAGCTAATCTTGTTGTAAATCAGAGGAAGGTTGAATTGTTGTCAGTTCAGAGCGGGCACAAGAGGATACATACACAACATGAAGTCTAAGTTGATTTCCAACAGACTTGCTTTCTTGTATAGCCAGTACTGGAATTATTTCTGATGTTGCAGCGTCGTTCCTGGGTAGCAGCTTCCTCATATCACAGCAGAAGTAGATATCAGCTATAGTGGAAGTTACTTCGTTTGTCTCTCTTTGATACAGTTACTAAGGTTATACTGTCCTCTTTATTGCTATGCATGCCATAACCAGTTCCCAACAACGAGCCCTCCGCTCCCCATAATTGTCGATGCAACTAGAAAGAAAGCGGCCGAACTTCGTACGGTAATTGGTAGTGGACTTATTATAAATCAGTTTTCGACTGTACCGCACGGCCATCACGCCCTTATCTCTACCGACTTCTTGCCACGGTGTACGTTCTCTCATCTCCAGAATTCTACCAAATCGTAATACAAAAGAGTATTGACGAAGAAATTGGTATGATATGTGAAGTATCGACGTTAACCGGTCAAAAAGGAAGAATCTAGGTGTTTTTGTAGGGGTTTTTCCAATTTGTGATTACTATATGGTATAAAGTCTGATCCCGAGGGCACAATTGTGTCTTCCAGCCCTCACTCAGTTGTACAAAAACAGTTCAAGATGCTGTGTGTAGAGCTCCAGCACCTAAAAGAGATGCCCCTGTCCCGAGTCAGGGAAAATATGCAGCTCGGCCCGAGTGATCTTCTGCTGCAAAATGAAGCTGTTCGCTGTGGGTGTCATAATGTTCACCGGCCCTGGGAACCCAGAGAAGGTAATCTATCGACTCCCGCCAACCGGTAGCCCTCCTATCCCCGGTGTTCCAGTTTCTATCGGGGCTACAGCTGCGCAGATTCTAGTTATATCGACCGGACGCCGAAGGTGATGCAGAAACATCACCGCCAGTGACATTAGGAACAGAAGAGTCGGCAAGGATTAGGCCGGCAAGCTGCCACTCAGAGCCCAGGCTTGCCTCCGAGAGCGTCTTGCCGATCGAATAGTTAACTGCCAGCGCCTTTATGTTACTCGGACATGCAGTCAATTCTTCGAAGTTACCTGCGCGGACTCCTTTATGGACTAGAAACTAGAGAAGGCAGCCTCTCTAAAGACCTCTGCCGCCATTATTTGCACCCGGGTAGAGCAGACCCTGCAGGAAAAGCAGGCCGCAGCCGAGCGGGCCGATGTCCAGGTCCCGATTATCGATCCGCATCCGACCGCGGTGTCGCCCTGGCTGGAGCTTACCCGCTGGCCCGAATACCTGCGAGGTCAGAACCTGGCGGCCACAGCCCTATTAGACTTGCCTGCCTGATTCTACGACCGAGCCCCCTGCTCGAGCAGTTCACTGCTAGCATCTGGCGGCTGCTCGATCAGGCCTACCACGCGATCCAAAACAGCCGCATCAATGAATTCGATCAGATTCAGATTAATACTTTCTTCCGCCGGCCGAGAATCTGGAACCGGTCAATACAGATCCATCTCCGGCCGGCTACCTACCATCGATACCGCCAGGTCTGGCAGCGTCTAATCTCGGGGGTTGCATGAACGAGCTGGTCTTTATCAGGGCGCGCCCGACTACTCTGGTAAAAAATTGAAAGGCTACCCATCATCCAGAACGATCAAGGCGGGCTGTGGTTATGCACAAGGCAAATTTGGCAATAATTTGATGTATTGTATGCTAAGTATGCTAAGGGGCCCGGACAGCCTCCGCAACTGCCTAGATTCGAGACGGTCCATGGGTGACAATGAGAAGGTACCTCTACGAAGGTATAAAGCTGGTTGAATTGGAGTAGCAGGCCAGCATTGCATGAGTCTCGAAAGGGGCATTCTCATCAACCAGATCTTGGGCTTATGTGGAGGACGATCGTCGTACTTGTTGTGGACTACCACTGGACCATTCCACTTTTGGTTTAGCGCTGCTTCTGACGTAGAGCACATCACGTGATTTGACGCGCCCGCGACAGAGCTTCGTGAGAGCTTCCGCATCGGCGATAAATCTGAGTTTCTTATCAATCCCCTTCCTGTGCTACTGCCTGGTTCCTAATGAGAGATCATACTCAGTGCTCGCTGCAGATTTGCTTCTATTGATGCTTTCTGTAAAGTCGCACACTGATGTGTTCTTCGCCATGGCAACAATTTGAGCTATTAACAAAACACTGGGAGGTGCGCATGGTCAGTGAATGTCCACCTCTATGTTTTGACTCAACCCACCTCTTCACCCACCTTCCCTTCCTTCTCTCTCTTTTCGTCCTCTTTCTCATCTTCATTGCAGCATATCTACTTTTTATGCGTTCCTCACCAGCGTCCTTATTCACAGCTTTACCTCCGAACAGCCAGATCAACTTACAATCAGGTCTCACTTCCGACACCAAAATGGCTGGTGTCTTCGCGACTCAGCAGCTAGAGAAGGTCGACGAGGCCGAGAGAGACGCGCGTATGCTCCCTACTAATCACGCGCAATCGGAAATTGATAACATGTTACTCGATCCTATGGACACGAGTTCTATCAAGTCCTCACCTGCTCAGCAGCCAGAGACCAACGCTCACCCTGTTGGCTCCATTCCTCCGCAGAATCATGCTCAGTCTTGCTCTCATCTCGGATCCTCTTTTGCCAATGCCGTACCCCGCTATGTCGCTACAATTGATGATCCCTATCCCTGGGGTCCTCTGCTCAATTCCCCCTTCGTCAGGCCTCGCTTTGCATTCTCCCCGAAGTCTAGAGCTGCAAGTCGCATGAAGTCCAATCCAGTCGCAGTCGCAAAGCCGTCGGTCAACAGAACCAAAGCAATATCTCTTGCCGCGCGAAATGGTTCTACCTTCGTCGGCCTCGATCACACTACGCGTCCCTTTTGGAATAACCGAGTTGTGAATGGTACCAGTCTTTTGACCGGTGGGGTCCCTTCCGTCGCTAATCGTGGTCTTGCATGGACCAACTTTCAAAAAGTTAACATGCCCTCTCAAGGTCAAGCTCCTCAGTCCGACCGCTCTGCGTCTCTACTGTCTGGATTCTCTTCTCTTCCTCGTAAGAGATCTATTGACGAAGGCGTTACGAGCAACCCCCCTCAGAAAGTCATTGACGACCCGAACAACATCCCTGTTGCCCCTTCCGCCAAATACCGTCGTGTGGACCAAAAGGGTTCCCGCTTGTCTCCTGTCCTGCCTGACGGGACCACCCTGGCTATGGCTGCTAGCCCTCAAAATGGAGAAGCCTGCGGCAAGGCCGATTCTGAACCTACAGCTACCGATAATAGCGATGGCAAACTGTCTATTCATACTGGAAACGCCAGCCCACCCGTTTCCTCGTCTCCCAAGCACAAAGCCATAGATTCTCTCATTTCTGAATCCAGAGGTCACGACATCATCTCTGAAAGCCAGGCGAATGTAGCACAGGCTACCACGCAACGTGCCGGAGGTAATTTCCCCGCCCATTCTCGCTTTTTTCCCTCTTCGTTCACCCATGGTTCCAAGCCCACTGAAGGTCCCATTCGTCCTTTTGAAGTCCGCGGTGTCATTCCCCAGTGGCACGATAGCTTCCCCCATGGTCCCATGCGTATTCCGGGCAGTTGGCCTGAGGAGTCTCACTTCGATTCGATTGCTGATGTCCGCAAAGGTTGTAACGACTCGCTTCAAGTCACACCTCTTTCTATCCCAACCGCTTTTAACGGTTCGGCCTCTCCGGAAAACCGAGACGGCCAGCAGACCACCGGGTCGTGGCAGGAGACATTCTACAATGCACGTAATAGTACTGTGGGCCGTGTAGTCAGAATGGCTTTCAGTTATGCTTGGTCAACTGTCACACGGCTCTTCAAACCAAGCGGCGTTTCGTCTCGTCGAACCGCTGCTGCTGTGTCAACTTCCCCGACTCGAGTGAACCTCCGTAACTTTCCAGAGCAGCAAAGACAGCAAATCAAGAGTCATCAATGGCGGAAGGAAAGAGGGTATCCTACTGTCGAACACTATCCATTTCCAGAATTGTCTCTTGATATTCCACTCTACCCAGCTGGCGCTGCTTCTCAGACCGAATCATTGGCAGAAGTTCGCCGTCCTTCCGTATCGAAGAAGCTTACTGGAACCCCGCGACAGCCTCGAAAGCGTATCGGGACATCTGGACCTCGTACCGTTTCGCTAGAGGGACAAGAGAAACATGGAAAGGAGAAGCGGGCCCGTGTTGAGTCGCTCAGTCCGCGGCTCAAACGACGCCTGCTTGCGGGCACCCGACTCAGTCGTTGGAGAAACGCTCGTCGTGAGCGCGCTCTGGCCCATGCACTTGAAACAGCCGAACATGATACAGTTCGGCCCCTGCAGCCGTCTGCCAAGGCATTGAGCATCAGTCACATTGAACCGAGACGCTCTACACTGATTCAGCCTCGAACTACTATTGAGCCAAAGTCAAAACCGAAACGCGTCCGGTTCCAAGAGCCTTTGACCGAAACTCCTACCCTCACAGCTCCAGCCCTCCTAACGGAGCTTGCCCCTCACCTCAACCCACCCTCCCCTGAAATTGACCGTGTTGTCCAACAGACAGAACAACAAATTATCGAAGAGAAAGAGAATGTGCCCCCAGCTCCCGAAGATGCCAAGAAAGTGAAACTTGCTGCGCGTGACGACGAACTCCGCACCAGACATGATGACTGGCTTCGTACCGAATTTCCATTTGGGCGGCCAGTTTCCGCAGTTAGGCTTTTCTATCCAGTTCAGAAGCCACTTCCACCAGGTCGTACAGAGTCTATTTACGCGGCTGAATGGAGAAAAATCGAAGAAGAACAAAAAGCGAAGCAAAAGCCTGTCCGAGTCAAACCAGAAGGCCCTGCCGTACGACCTCTCCCTCCTAAATGGGAAGCGAAGGTTTCGGAGATCAAGTCCATGCCGAGCAATCGTCAGATCGCCACTACCCTGTCCGGTGATCCTTTGACCAAGAGAGATCTTGCCACCTGCTACACTCCAATGGCGTGGCTGAACGACGAAATCATCAACTCATATCTTGCTCTGATCGTCGACTACTTGCGTCGTTCTCACGGAAACGCTGGGCGTCATGACAAGCCTCGATTCCACGCGTTTAACACGTTCTTCTTCTCAAACTTGCGCGACAAGGGCTACCAGTCGGTACGCCGCTGGGCAACTCGGGCCAAAATTGGGGGAGAGGCTTTACTGAACGTCGATACTGTGTTCATCCCCGTGCACAACAGTGCCCATTGGACACTGATCGTCGTCAGACCGGGAGAGAGAACCATCGAGCATTTCGATTCCCTCGGTTCCCTCTCCCGGCGCCACGTGGGACTGGTGCAAGGCTGGCTCCGGGCCGAGCTCGCCTCCCGTTATGTTGAGGAGGAGTGGACAGTACTCCCCTCCATCTCCCCTCAACAGGATAACGGGAGCGACTGCGGCGTCTTCCTCTTGTCGACCGCGAAGGCGGTGGCCATCGGTCTCGAGCCACTCTCTTACGGTGCTAAGGACATCGTCGTCCTGCGCCGTAAGATAGTGGCCGAGCTGATGAATGGAGGGCTGGAGGGTGATTTCGATCCCACCGGTGGGGGTGGAGAACCGCTGCTCTAAGCAGCAAAATTTGTTTCCCTTTTTTCCCTTTCTGTATGAGTATCTGTGTTTTGTTTTGGGTTAGGGCGTTGTCGTTTCAAGGGGAGAAAGGAAGACAGAAGAAGCACTTCGGTGCATGATGTATGATTACGGGCCGGTATAGACTGGCCGGACCGCCTCCCTCCAACGTTCGTTGCATGTTTCGGGGCGCTTGGGACAGGATGATGGGACGACGGAATGGCCTGCATTGTATGATCTGGAGATACCAGCATGGCGTTTATGATTCTTGGGGTTTGGCGCATGTGTGCATTTTCCGCTTCTGATACCCCGTCAGTCGAAGCTTCGGCTCCTGACTTGAGCATGCTTTGTGGTTTAAGCTCGTTCTTCAGCGTCTCAGCCGCCGCTTGTTTATGTTTGTTGTACAGGATAGTACTGAAAATGAATCTACCGATTGTCAAGCATTCTTCTTTTTCGGATAGTGAGGCAAGAATCACTTGGGTGTTTAGATACGCAGTCACCTACGTCAGTGTAGATTTATAACGAGCAATGCTAGTCTTAAGGCTGAGGTGAGACATTAGGAATGTTATATAAGAATTAAGACTATCGTAATTGACAGAGTCATCACGGACCACGAACATCATCTAAGAAGCATGGCCTCGAACATTGCCTGGCCGCGTCCTTCCTTTGGATGAACTCAACCTCCTCTGCCAATCCCTCATGGTCTGGTTCTGGTCCTGCGGCTGGGGCTCGCGCAAAAGGTCTATGTTTGTGGCTCGGAAAGGGTACAGTATCGCTCGGTGCTCCGTTAACCTTTGTTGACGTGTTGTAGGCCACCTCGATCCACTCAATTCCTATGTACGCGCTTTGTCCCACGGGCATTTCGCCTGTCCACTGCCCTCCGTTACTCCACAGATTGATTGCCATCATGCTCGGCTGATCAGGAACATGGTAGGTGTTGGAGGCTTTGATCTCGCCATCGGCGTACCATTTGGTGATATTGTGCAGCCAGTCGACCCGGTGCGTGGTAGGGTTCGTCCATGGCTGGGAAAGCGTACCGATTGAGGCCGCCCCCGGAATCATGGCATCCGTTATGGGGTCGTAGTCAGGTTGATTAGCGTAGCGAACGATATTGGTTGGATCTGAAGTCAGGATCTCGATGTCGGACTCGCAGGTCGATGAACGATAGGTGAAGATACCCGCACATGCACCTCCGGGTACCACTGATTGATTTGTAGGGTTTCCTTTAGGCACTGGGCGGCCATACAGCATTGGCTCCCTGTTCACAGAGCCAACTGTCATGACGCGCATCCGGACACGTAGGGAGCAGTGGAAGATATTGCGAAGGCGATACTCGAGTTCGGCTGTCGCCGTGTGGTTAGGAAATCGTGTCGTGCGCAGTACGAGGTGAGTTGACTCGGAATCATTTGTATATAGGGTGTTGCTCGCGAAGAATATGTTTTCTGGTGAGTTAATGATAGGGAGGGGTCCATATTTGTTGCTTTTTCGGTGCCACTTTTGGGGTTTCCAGTCCCTTGCAAATGCAGTCTGTGAGAAGAGGAGAGTACCCAAGTCAATTCCTTCGCCGATTGCTTTCATATCACCGTGATCGTTCTTGTCATCGTCAGGGTTCTCTTCATCTTCGGCGTTCTCTTCATCGTCAATGTTTTCTTCATCGTTAAGGTTCTCTTCATTGTCGCCGTTTTCTTCAAGGCCGACGTTCTCTTCCTCGTTATCGCCTTCATAGTTGTGGGTTCTATCGGCTCTGGACAGGATATAGCTTCTCTTGTTGGCGCGGCTTTTGCTGCCATTGCTATCATAACGAGGCAAAGGGATCTTTCTGAAGTCCCAGAAGGCGTAGTTCTCAAAGTATACGGTTTCCGATCCGGACACAACATAGCAGTCACACTGACGCTTGTAGAAGTCAAGGGGGAGTCTAGGAGATGTGGTACTGCTGTTACTTGGAGCAGGATAAGAGAGGACTCTTGTGGCGAAGAGCGAGGGTAGAAGAGAGAAAAGGAACAACTTCATTCTCAAAAACGTTCGAAGTGTAGGTCGACGTGCGGATAATAGATAACGAAAGTCATAGCAGCTTTCTTAGGTCGACAGTAACCAAGAGGTGTACGTCTCTCGCAAGCGATACTTGAGCAATCGCGAGGAAGCATCTTGCAGTATATATCAAGAGAGGCAGGCGCGTCTCTTGTCGTTTCGGACAAATCTACTCCCCCAATCTCAAATTGACGAAAGCCATAGGTAGGAAGTATTGAATTCGATCGTCTAGCATTGGAGTTCCCTTCGTAGTTGTGCTTCTGTGTTACTGTCATTGAGCACTTGGGTAAACTGGCCCACTTTGTATGGGAAAATGTGCCCCCAGAAATCATTTTCGGACCCGGGAACGTTTGCACACATAATTCCAGGCCAATTGAGGTCGGCGAATCTATGAGGGTATACATTTCTTCATTGAATGTGTCACGAGTATGTCATAGTTAGCATTCATGTTTACCATGACGCTTGAAGTTGAGCATCTCCAGTGTAAACAGTAATCCTAGCAGCAGCGCAGGCTGTCAACTGGTCAGTATCGCCAACTGGTCAACCGGTGAACAGTCCAGGATCGTTCACATATACATGGGTTGACTCATCCATTATGATGCTAATTTGAGTCATGAGCGATGTGCTATGAGAAAGAATGAGCTATCAATCCCGATTGCACCATCTACTCAGCCATTGTGAGTCGACCTGAATGTGGGCATTGCTGGCGTTCCTTTTCCTTGTACACTTGTTCTTGGATTAAGATGTAATGCTTGTATTAGAAATACCAAAACTGTCCCTCGAATGAGGCAGAGAAACGCCGAGCAGATATTTATGCTGTCCAATTGGCGGTCGTCCACTCTGAGGCGGCAGCCTCGCATCAGTTATGATTGGCTTCTATGCAGTCACCTGGACGCAAGGGAGGGGCCAAGGCGTCAGGCTATCCTATAACGGTATTGTCATAAATCCAGTAATTACCAACACTTTCAATTTCGTCGCTCCTCCTGGGTCGAATGTTTGATAGATGAGGGTTGTGAAACTTCATAAACGATTCTTCACTGTCAAGCTAGACAAATGTATAGAGTAGAATTATCTTGGAGAAAATATCAATTGTCAGCAGTCGAAATCCAACTGGTAGGGATGGCGAGTCTTGATGGTCGCTGTCCGGCGATCCGGTGTTGGCGAGGAGTTGCCGTATGTGCTTGTGCCACGCAACAAGCGACCGAAGAAAATGAAAGGAGGGGGCGTCAGCCGGAACGAGAAAGGGAGTCGTCCAACTTCCTCACCCAGCCCTTCCGTCCATCCATCACATCGTCATCCATCATCACCTACGACTTAACCATCATTACCATCATCGAAATATCGTCAAAATGGATATCCTTCGCATATAAATCGATCTGCACCTGCAGGTGGTACAATATTGACGCAGAATTCGAGTTTACGCCATATTTTTACAGTCATCCATTGTAATCCTTCTACCGACCGTCATCTCATCCTCACTATCACCATGACTGCCACACTTGAACGAAGTCTTTCCCGTACATCAAGCATGTCAATACCAATATCCAGTCCTCTACTTTCAGTCAGACATGATGTGACGCCTCCTATTCTATCTGAACCCTCTTTGTCCCAAATCCACGACCGATTAAACCTCCTAGATTCACGAGTACTCGAGCTACGCTCGACAGTCCTCACCAAGGATGGCTATGTTGATCGACGTAATCGTGAAGATGAGCATATTCGCCGAGAATTCGAAGCCAATCGCTCGATATCGAATCGAATTGATCTGAACGTGGTTGCGTTGAGGACGGATGTCGACCAACTCAAGTCGGGCGTGTTTCAACTCAAATCTAGCATTGGCCAGGCCAGCAACGAGACGGTCTTTTTGCGCAGTGATGTCGACCGTCTCCAGAAGAATGTCGATCAGGTCCAGGCCGACTTGGAACAGCTTCAGACTGATGTTTGTGGATGCCGCATTGAAATCAGCAAACTGCATGCTGCTATCAGTCAACTACGTACCGATCTGATTACTCTTCAACATGAGACATCGCGTCACCTGAACGCGGTATTCAATCGGTTTACCCTAATTGAGGCTCGCATGAAGCACTCGGAAAGGGTTCGATTCAACTCCCTTGCTCACACCACGCATGCCCCTATCACGCCCGTCCCGGTTATCGAAGAAGATGGATCTCTTCAGTGGCCCGAATACTTCCCTCGTACAGTCTGGAGATTCTGGTGCTTGAAGAAGCGCAGTAGGAGTGAGTGATTTGTACTCAAGATGAGTCTTATGGTACCTAACATAAATCCGCAGTTAATCGACTTGTACAACTCGCCGAATTCTATCAACTGGGAGGTTTTGAGTACTGGGGCCGCATGCACCAATCGGACTTGTATGGCAGCGACAGCGATTCGAGTGAATCCAGTGAATACCCATCAAATCTGACGCGTGCCGAGGCTGTTCGTCAGTATCCGGAATCCGCACACCAAGCTCTCGCCGCAACTTTGGGTCTGGTCTACTACAAGATCCGGAATGAAGTTGGTGAAGGGCCGAACACTCATATTACCCGTCCCCCGAAGCGGGAGCGCCAACAGGAGGATCTGGCTTCTGTCTCCTCTAGTTCCAAGCAGAAACCGGTCAAGATGCCACGCCGACCCAACAACGTCTCCCCCACCACGCTACACAGGCTCATCACTGGGCCCTCACTGGAGTCGAAGTCGCTGGTTTCGGAAGAATCCGACAAACTTGGCTGGAATGTCCATTCCGACGTGTCTGACGACGCCATGAGCAAGCTTCGAGGTATCGTGTCTGAGGAAGTCGGTACCCTTCTTCGTGCACTAGAGCAAGGTCGTCTCAAACTCAAACCAAGTCGATCCGAACGATTAAATATGTCTCCTACGGAATCCAAGGAAGGGTCGTTTCAAAACAAGGCCCCAGAATCGGCTCAAGACGATGAGGTTCGCACAGTGGCGAACACCGTTGCAACCGAGCTTGTGTCCCCATCATCTACACGGAATGAAGAACATGATCTCCCAGACACAGCTTCCGATGCTACAACTCCATTGACTTGATGGCGCTGCCCTGGTCGGATTTCCGTTCCCGGCAGACCACGTTACTTGATCCATGATCGATCATAGGGCTTCATACTTCGTATAGACCCGGCCGTCTGCAAGTCTAGCTTGTATGGGTGACCATACAGCATTCCTCAACCTGGATTATGCTGAACGCGGCAATTACGCGTCAAAGCTTGACTCTTGTGGCATCGCCCATCGAAGAGAAACAATCCGTTTCAATCCTGACTGGCCACCTCTGCAGCTGAATGGAGGTCACAGGAGCTCGCTCAACGTGAACATCACCACGAGCTATATTACATAGCACATTTCTGTCATCTTATTATCGACGGCAAGTCGAGCAGGACTTAGGAGGACTAATCTAACTCAGTCCAGCAGCAGCTGGATAGAACCACCAAGCATTGGCAAGGCGTCCTGGAATGGTCATATTTTGCAAGGATACCCATTTGTTTGTTATATTTGGCGTTTATTTATTCTTGGACCGGAGTACATACCACTTAGATACCTCCAGGTTATTGGGCGCACTTCATATTTTGCGTTAATTGATATTGGCAAGCTTTGATTAACCATGATGCTCTAGTCTCGATACCGAGCGGATCGAGACACATTCACGTATTTACATCCTGTCCTCACCCTATTCGAGGTAACGATCTCTGTCGGCGCCGTGAGCTGAGTAATTCCTCCGTCGGCCATGACTCTACCAGTATACCATTGCACCAGAGCAATTAGTCCGCCCTCGTATACCATGAGTGGAAGGGAGAGTGTCCCTGGCACTTGTGACCAGTTCGCGAGAATGTAGCTGACAGTATACATTATATCAGGGACGTATATACACGATGTGTCCAGCCAAGTCCAAGCTCTTCCACCGAAGCAAGTGAAAGGCTAATTATTGTGTTGTCGCATCAGCTGCGACCGGTTCCCATAGATCCTGCTTCAACACTTCGAGTACTTTCTTTTCGTCAATATTCCCTATATCCAAATCGCCAGTGTGGATTTGATCTTCAGAAGTTTCTTGCAACATGTCTTCGCTCAGATCCGGTTCCGGCCCTTGGGTCCGTAGATAATCTTCCTCCAAAAGGAACATTGGGGTTTCTTTTTTGGCGCGTAATGCCTCTGGAGGCTGGGGAAGGGCGTAGATTGTGGGAAATTCCAGAACCGCACGGTCTCGGAGAGCAGAGGTAAAAGTCATGCTGGGGGATAAAGGGATGAGGACCGGCTGTTTGGTAGCAGTTCGTGGACGATGAAGATAGAAGCTAACGCCGCGATGGGGGATTATTTCGTTCTTGCTTTTGGATGAGCTTGACGGTCGATCCGGCGTTGATTCTGTGACCGATTGACCAGTTGGAGCTGTCGAAGGAGGCTCAACGGTTTCTGATTGTGTCGGTTGTTCGCTGGACGCGGGCTCTGACTCCTGCTGTCGATCTCCTGTACTTTCAAGTGTTTGCTCGTCTTCCTTTGGTTTTTGAACAACTTCGCCTGCTTTCTCCTTAGGCTGTGGGTAGATGCGGTCGTAGGCTTCCGCCAGAGTGCACGATTCCAAGCAGTTCCTCGTCACCTTCTTGCCATCAGCAGTAATCCATTCAACCGTCCAACTCAAACATTTATGTCTGGAGATCGTCAGTACGCCGACACCACTCTCACCGCCCAGAAAAGAGACATACTTAGGATTCCACTTTGACGCATTCGCCTTATTCCTACTCATCCCCCTCGGCGCCCTGATAACCCTCACCCCGGCATTCTGAGCCCCACGCAGGAACCCAGCTTCACCCTTCACAAATCCTCCCTGCTCAGGCCTCTTCCTCTTTCTCCCCGCCTCAGCATCCTGCCCATCCTGCCCAACCTCATGCTCCAGACCCAACACCGCCGGATCAGCAGCCGTAGTCCCACTCAACGGAATCCCTCTATCCTCCGCCTCTCGCTCCGCGCGCTCAAGACTCCTCTCGATCTTCGTGATGAAGTTGAAGTCCCGGTCGAAGGCGGATTCCGTGGCGAGCTCACTGCGCTTCAGGTAGGCGGCTGGATCGCGGACGCCGGAACACTGGGACCAGAGCTTGTGGCGGCGGGAGCAGGGGAGGGAGCAGGTTCGTGTTGAGCAGCGGGGACAGCGGTATTTGGGGGGGTTGATGTGGCTGTGAGTGTGGAAGATTAGTTAGCGGGTTGTTTGATGCGATGGGGGATGGGATATCGTCTTTTGTTTACTTACCATATTGTGCATAGATCGGACAATAGGGTGTCGCCGTCGGCATTGGACATGTTGATGTATATATTAAAAATAATTGACAGTAAGGATAGATGATATTATTAGTGATACTGTTCTAATAGGAATAGATGTTGACGGCAAGCTGCGCAGACGATACATCAGGAAAAAGTTTCTGGGGATTGGGGTGAGCTTATCGATAACAGTTAGCCTTCGTGCCTCAGGCACCAAAAGTGTTGCTCATGTTTGAATCACTACGGAGTACGTCTTTAAACTACTTTCTTTGGGATGTGGTTAAGGTATTTTGAGCATTGAAATTGGAGTCGCTATCTTGAAAGACTATTAGACGATGGAGTGGAATCATCATCACAGTATCAGAGGTCGTGTTGCAAGCAGTAGCAAAGATGATATCATCGCGATTACTGATCAATATGGACATGTATTTCTAAGCACGGCATCAACAATGCCCGAAGTAAATCACGACATCCAAATCATAAGAGATATAATTAAGGGAGAACCATCGTAATCTCTGATTCCGCGCGACAAAGTTACGATTTAAACATTGACAGCATATAAGACGTTCAACAGTATGGCTACCAAAGCATTGGCTATCATCGCGGGAGTCGGCCCTGGCACGGTAAGTCCATTACTTGACTGGAATACACATCTGCTAACATGACCAGGGCGCTTCCATCGCCAGACGCTTTGCCAAAGCATACTCGGTGGTGGTACTTAGCCGGAACCCGGCGAACTTCGAACCTCTGGTCGAAGAGATCAACTCCAGCGGTGGACAGGCCCTAGGAATTAGTACGGACGTGACAGACTCGGGAAGCGTCAAGTCTGCGTTTGAGAAGATCTCTCAGCAGTACGCTGGTGTTCCTCTGGCAGCGGCCGTGTTCAACCCTGCCGGTGGATTCTCGCGCAAACCCTTCCTCGAGCTTACAGAGGAAGAATTCTCCCAGGGGTTCGAGAACCAAGGGTGAGTTCTTATTTCCAAAGACAAACGTATTCATCCAAAGACTGAAAATCAAAACAGAAAGGGGGCTTTCAACTTCGCCAAAAGCGCTTTGCCTCTTCTGCTTCAGGCGCAGGGCTTGCATCATCCTCCAACTTTAATCTTCACGGGGGCTACAGCCAGCGTGAAAGGGTCTGCGAATTTCGCGGCCTTTGCAACCGGCAAATTTGCTCTACGAGCGTTGGCGCAATCGCTGGCGCGAGAGTTCGGACCGAAGGGCGTTCACGTCTCTCACGTCATTATCGATGGGGTCATAGATATTCCCAGAACGAAGGCTTGGACATTCGAGCATGAAGACGCTAAACTTGATCCAGACGCTGTAAGATACCTCTTCCTCGTTTGGAATTGATGACAATGACTGATTGGTACTATAGATTGCAGAGTCGTATTGGCATTTGCACACCCAGCCACGCACGACATTTGGGTTCGAGCTAGATCTTCGCCCATATGTGGAGAAATGGTAATGCAGAGGTCGAAGGGGTATATCAGCTGATTATAATGGATCATTTATATTGTTTTCTACGTGATAATGTTGGTGCGCAGGAGTAGCGCTGTAACCTTCGGGCCGATCTTTCAGTTTCAGTAAAACTCCGGGGAAATGAGGAGGGGAAACGTTCTTCGTATAAATTGATTGTCGAGCAAATGATCTCATTGAAGGTGATGGTGAAGGTGATCGTCACTCAGAAGGATATTCTGTTTCAGTTGTTGCTTCAAGTTTTCCCGAGATGACTGAATTATCCCAAGCCCATTATAAAAGGATACTGTTTAACCGCAATTATAGCACTATGCTCGCTCATCTGCCGAAGATAGTTCAAGTGCGCCAAAATGAAGTTTTCAATCTTTCTGAGTGCTCTCCCTCTAGCCTCTGCAGCTACTACATTGATCCCCTCCACGTGCTTCAACTCATACTCGTCTCTGGAAAAATACTTTGCCTATCTCTACCCTTGGGGCTCAGATCATAATGGCTCCGCTCGTATGGTCGGCAGCTCAGCCGACCATCAGTATATTTCTGTCAACTCAGGCACACTGACTCTGGTTGCCAAACCAGTTAGCGGCCAGCCGCCTACCAAATCAGGTAGAGAGATAAACTACCTATCTGGCGCGGTACATTCAGCAAGGACCTTCACCGTCAAAGCCGGATCAGGCTTCGACATCCAGGCTGAGTTCCAGGCTCCAACTGCTAGAGGTACCTGGCCTGCGTTCTGGCTCAATGGAGCGAATACGTGGCCACCTGAGATCGATCTTGCCGAGTGGAAGGGTTTGCTACACCTCGAGACCCAAATTTCTCGGACTCTGTATGGCTGACAGCAGCAGGAACCGGGGATATCAGTTTCAATACCTTCAACGTGAGAGATGCACCTAGAACTATGGTATCGGACCTGCGCTGACCGGTCACTATTACAGACCTCGTCTGAAGTCAAAGCTTTGGACGTCAACTACCCCTCTCCCGGCAATTTTCACAAGATCAAGACGGAAATTCGTGACGTCGATGGCAAGAACATCTCCGTCAAGTTCTACCTTGACGGCAAGCTCATCACCACCCAGTACGGGAGGAATTATATTGGCAAGCCATTGCACTTGTAAGTTTGTAACGATGCATGAGATATTGCCCAGCACTGACTCCTGCCAGAATCGTCAATCTACAAATGGAGGGGTCGTCTGGCTCTCCTGGTCCAACAACTGGTTAGTCTTCTTTTCATGGCTTGGTGATGATGATCGACTAATTGAGCAGATACCTACTATCGTATTCGCAATCTATCTTTCGTGGAGATTTAGTTGGTAGATTGTCACTGCGAATGATACGTGTTGATCAGCGTTAGTGTGTTCGAGTAGATTGTTTACTTGTAGAATAAGAATTATAAGAGTAACTTTATGCTGGTGAAACGCTCGATGACTAAGCTGCACAACATCACCCAACATTCTTCTAACCTTCTCCACACTCCGTCACAGCTATCACCAAGCTTCTGAAACACCAATTGGAGCAAGACCACGAGCGCTCTACCATCCAAGATGGTACTCAACGACACATCGCCGCTGTCCGAGTCCGAGAGCTCCAACGCGTCGTCTCAAAATGGATCTAATTCATACAACAGCGGCCACATCCCAATACCAGGGTATCCCCTCGTGCTCAAGACCGAATACCTTTCCCGCCCCGACCTATTCACGCTGTACTTCGGCTTCGTGGGCCAACGCAACTGGCTGCACAAGAACAGCGCACACATCCGCGACCGCATTGAATCCTGCAAAGTCATGATCAACCGGCTCCCCACCCAGGACGAGCTCGACGCCTTCGTCTACCACGGCAGCAAATACATCTACCACCAGCGCCTCGGCGCGCCCTACTCCGGCGCCATCGGCACGGCGTACCTGTACTGGCGCGTGCGCAACTCAGGCGTTGTCGCGCACCTTGTCCCCGGGCTGAAACCGGGGCAGAAGCCGTCGCCGGCGCAGGTGCTTGCGGCTGTGAAGCTGTACTCGTCGATCGAGCCGGCGAATTTCAGACAGGTAATGATTCGGGGATCGTTTAGGTGGTTCTTCTGGGTGGTGGCGGGCTCGATGATGACGAGTGTGTGGGGGATGTTCCATGATTTGAAGGAGACGATGGGCGATCCAAGGCTGAAGCAGTTCTTTGCGGAGATGAAAGACAAGGATCCAGAGGAGGTGCGCAGGCGGAGGGTCCAGAGGGTTGCGGAGAGGACTAAAGCGGCCAAGGAGGCGGCGGAGCGGCGCGCGCAGGGCTTGCCGCCTGTGGAGGTGGGGATGGGTCAGGGTGCCGGGGCGGGAGGGGGCTACGCTGAGAGCCAAGAGTATGGCCAGGGTGCTGGGACGTATGGATCTTTAGATTCTTACTCGTCTTCGTCTGCGCGGGAGTCCGTTCCGTCGGCGTCGTCTGATAAGCCTGCTAATCTGCCGGATCGGAATCTGGGGCGCTTGTACGGTGATTCGTCCTCGACGGAGTCGATGCGCGGTGCTACCACTGTCGATCAGAGCAAATCTACGGACTTTTTCGAAAGCGACGATGCCAGCCCCGTTGCGGCGGAGTATCGATCTGGAGGCGGCTCGCAAGGAAGCGCCTGGGATCGGATCAGACAGCAGGCCGGCTCCGGCTCCGGCTCCCAAGGCGGACAGGATAGTGGGCTAGGATCGGCGTGGAATCGGTCCGTCAATGAGAGGCAACAGCGCGAACAGGATAGTGGTCCAGGCTCAGCATGGAGCGGGTCGTCGTCAACGCCAGACAGTGAGAGGCGACAGCGCGAACAGGCTCAGGCTGAATTTGACCGCTTGCTAGAGGCCGAGAGAAACATGGCCGGTGACTCTGAGGGGGGTGAGAAGAAGGGATGGGGAAGATGGAACTGAATCTCCTGCAACGCATTATGAGCTTAACATGTACCATATCACTCCACATTAGCAGAGTTACATTTACTACTCTTTTCCAACTATGCTACGGCTACTTTCTCGTCCAGCCCGTGTATCACGCCGGACTTCAACCGTCCGAGATCGCTGGGCTTACATATGAATAGATACAGATCGGTCTACATTTCACGAAGGATATGCAACGGATTCGCTTGAATAAGACAGTAGGATGCTAACTTTTCCTTTGCCCTTGCGGGCGAGTACAGTCTCAGAACATCAGGAATTCCTTTAGAGCACATCATGAAACCGGGCAGAATCTTTCAAGGTGGCCCGCGTGATCATAGAAACTATCGCGTGAAACAGAGGCAAGGGTATAGCAATTAAATCGTCACTAGAGATATGAGAAACACGCTCGGTCATCGCAGATTGTAGATATTGGGGGTGAGGTTTAATTAACGGGGCATGGTTGAAAAGGAAAGGTCATCAGTCATAAGAATTATAGGTCCAATGAGATATAATGCAAATCATGCTATAGAAGTCGAGCTGGCAGGATATGATAAATCGAAGAAATCACTTGGTTATATCCGGCCTTCCGACATTTGTACACTTTCATAAGGGACACCCGTCTCACGGGAAGATGTCCAATTGTCTAGTCCGCGGCTGTTGCTGCGCATGCGTGTCAGATTCCGGATCTTGTTCGTGAAGCTCTGGTTGACGCTCTTGCCCCGCCGATGGTCAAATGACGTGCGCCGGCGCTCGATGGTAGGCCGCGTTTCCGTACTGATTGCCGGGGCCGCTGTCATAGCTCGAGGGAGCAATCTGCCCAGGTTCTCGTTGTCAATAGCAATGTCTATAGTCCCGGAGGATGCCCGAGGGGAAACAGGTCCAAGGGGAGCAGGAGGCGGAGGAGGTGGGGGAGTGTTCAGATGCTGTAATTCTGGCAGGATTGGAGGATTCTCGAATTCCTTCAGGCCCATAGAATTTTCGATCGTCTCCTCGATACTGACGGTGACTGGAGAAGAGCCGTACGGATAGCCACCGGAGCCTCCCAGCTCTCGAGAACTTTCTCGCCGGTGACCGATGTTCCGGCTCCTACTGGTCGATCTGCTTCGCGGGAGGCGGGGGTTGAACCTCGGATGGGTTGGCAGGTCGACAGGCATGGGACCCGGTTGATGCTCCTGTACTGGAACGGACATTGAACGGCCGATTCTCTCGGCTTCGCCTTGGTACCTGGCATCACTCAGTGTTATAACGTTGTCTGGAACACTAGACCCCGAGGAGACGGTCTCTTCGTAGCCGTTAGGATACTTCGGGTGACGCATGGCTTTCGGAGTGGCTGGCAGACCAAGAGGTCCTCCTGACCTCGACGAATTCGAATCGGAGCTGCTGGGATAGTCTGGCGAGGCCTTGCTGGTCGACGCTCTCCTTCTCGCCGGTGTACGCTGGTTGGCAGAGGTTCTGGACAGAGGTGGGCTGCCTAGGGGGCTTCGGCTGTACTGCAGCTCTCCAGGAAAAGGTATGTTTGGGGCTGAAGGGTTGCGCGCAATTGAAAGCCGCCGGGCCTCCAGTTCAGCAGCTGCGAGCTCCTTTCGCCTCTGTTCTGATAGTGCTATAGGTGGCAAGGTTGGTGCACTTGCATTTCGAGCCTGCATCTCCACTTCTTCCATTTCACGGGTTCTCTCTTGGACGTATGTATCGGTCTGAGCAATATCACTCGTCATCAACCCGTTAGCCCGCTGTTCGGTGTCGGTGTTAATGTTCATGTTTGTATCATGGCCTTGCCGATTATGAGATGGTGCCCGCGAATGTTTGCTCTCGGGAGACGCATCCCTTCTCGACCCGCCCTTGTCAGGACGTCGGCTGCTACTGCGTTGGTGACTCCGCAATCTTTCCCTGTCACTAGCGACCAGCCTCAAGGCATCCTCCGCTTGAGGTACAGGTAATGGGGCAGACGGTGATCTATCCCCGGAGCTTCGCCTATCGATGCTGCGCCCCCGATGAGCAGGGTCATTCTTGTCTGCGGCCATTCGGCTAGCGGCGTGTCGACTGGCAGAACGATGCTGATGACGCTCCGATGAGTGTCGAGAGCGTGGCTTTCTCACTCTGCTGCCATTACGTGATTTGCTCGCAGGGTGTTTGCTTCCTGTGCTCTTGCTGTATTGAGCTATCTCCTCCGGGGACATTGGAACCGGAGAGGACGGCGATCGTTTAGCAGGCTGAATGTATCTTCTCTCGTTTCGTCCTCGAGTGGTTTCCTGGGAAGTATTCCTCGAAGTGATCCGTCGTGCTGAGCTTTGGCTGACCGAATCGTCCGTGTTTCGCCTTCCTCGACTGAATTTTTGTGAGCGATAATTCGCCTCGTCGAGACTGTTGATGTACTGGTCCATGCTCCGACCACTGACACTGGGACTTTTCGCTGAATTGTAACTGTTTAGCGTCGATGCCGGGCTCCGAGTATTACTCATTGTACCGCTAGGTGGACCTAGCAAATCACTGTCTGGAGCATCGGGCTGGAACAGGTGAAGCTGCAGACCACCTGGCTTTCGGTCTCTGGATCCGTTCCGACTGTCCGAACGTTCCCTGAGGGCCTCGAATACGCCAGGGCTTGGGGAAGGAAGACCCTTGATGGTTGCAAACTTATCCGAGTTCGCCTGAACGGCAGTTTGCGGACTCGGCTTAAACGTGTCTTTTTCAGGATTGTACCGTGCAGACGGCAACAAAGACGACAAGACCTCCTCGTCCTGACTTTGGCTTCCATCATGCAGCCTGCTGGTGCTTTCCACCGACGAGGCATATTCCACGGAGTGATTCAAGCCACTTGGCAAGAAAGTGGGTGGATGGACATCAACGGGCGTTTCCCCAATGGAGGGCAAGCGTCTCCGGTTGAACGCAGGCGTGCCTGTCCTTGCGTTCATCGCATTGTTCAGACTCTGAATGTTGTTCGCTCTGTAGGACCCAAGTCCCCCGGGGGATATAGCAGACCCTCCTACAGCCGACTCGGCGATAGGTGTAATTCCCGGGGCATTTGTTGGTGTTCTATCGTCTGATTTCAGACCCGGGAACCGGAACTTGCCGGGCTGAGAATCAAATGACGTGATCAGCTTGAGGGCAGGAGTTTTCGCGTTCGGTCTGGTGCTAGGCGGCACCTTTGACTGTGAATTCATAGTCGGCCGAAGAAAATTCGACGACTGTTGCTGCAAAGGCTGTGGCTCAGGAGACGTCATCGGCGATCGTCCTGAAAGGATTTCCGCAAAAGACGCAGCTTGCTGAGCAGCGGGAGAAGTCCAGGGATCGGAGGGCTCTACACCGGTACACATAAAGCATCGAATTGCCAGCTGCTGCTGAGCATGGGAAACGACGTGCTCACCCCATCGTCGCACCAGATATGACTGGCGCTGCCAATCCGTCGGCGTCAGAAGACAAGTCATCAGGATCGCTTCCATGTAGCAGTTCTGAGAGACATAGACTTCAATAGCTTCGTTTTTATCGCCCAGGCCCAGCAAAACGGTAGCCGATGTATGTATGTCGCCAATCTCTAGCAACTTTTGCGCAAAGGCTTGGCCGACCTTGTTCGCTTGCGACTCGCCATTCATCTGGCTCATGGCCAAGAGCATCCAATCGGTCAATGTCGCCGGTCCCGAGTTGATCATGGCCGCAGTTGCGTCAGAGTCGGATTGGCCGAGCCATTGCGCCAACAGAATGGCACTCTGACTACCGGGTGGGTGACGAAAGACTGCTCATAAGTCAATTCGAGATGTGGACAGCGCAAAGATTTGAAGGTGCTCACTCACGTTCGTCTCTAATCAGGTCTTGGATATCTCCATCCCATCCAAACACGACGCTCAGCATCTGTCGCCGAAGGTCGTTTGGCGTGAGATGGGTCTCATCTATGGGGCGATGGTTCCTATACGGCACGTCGTTGAGGCGCGCACGAGTGAATGGAAACAAATCAATACGCTGGTCGGCTGGGCTAAATTGCACCTCATTTCGCAGTCGGGATGCCGCGCGAGAGCTTTTCACCGACGACATTGAGACCGAGGAGGCGTACGTGTACGAGGCCCCAGACTGCTGAGGAGTCTCTCTTCCACTTGCTGAAGCTAGCGAGAACGATGTACCCGTCTGTCCCGACCTACTCGGTGGTGAAAATGGCACCATCCTGTATTTCCCCGAAGATGCTTTCGAGCTCACAGAGTTGGCGTGACTCCGCGACGATACTGGACTGCTCATCTCTGCACGCTGCTGCCGTACGGCGTCTACTCCGCTCTGGTCAAAAGGTGGCCGGCCGTCGTACATGCGCGCTGCTTCTCTGAGCTCCGGCGGATCCTGCAAGGCTCGTGGTTCTAGGGGCGCTCCCCTCGGGTCTTCAGAAGTTGCAGTAAGGGCTCCAGCAGGAATATGCTGCACATTAGCAACCATTCCCGGATTATCTAAATCGTACTGCTGCACTGTGTAGTTAGGGCCAAGAGTGAAAAGAGTAGCAGTCGGGCCATAATTAGCGAAACCACGAGGGCTTTCTATCGTCGGAATCGGTTCATAAGTGACGTGTTTCGTTTTGACATCCCATGCCCAGGTCTCTCTGGAAGTCGTTGCTGGTTAGGAATTCAATCTTATGATTGGGTGGACGACACTTACCCATCGAGAAACTGCACGATCCGGCCGTTCTTTGACCACGCCATCCACTTAGGCTCGGCTGAGGAAGAGTCGGATCGCTTGAGCACTCTGATGACCCGCGGAGCCTCTTTGCCAGGAGGTTTTGAAATACTCCAAACTCTCAGGTCTCCATTGAAGGATAGAGTCGCGAGCATATCGGACTTTTGCTTTGACGACGACGCATGCCATGCTAACGAGACGATGGGTGACGGGCCTCGTGAGGTTGACATGGTATGAAGGATGTTAAACGTGGGATGAAGAGTGGCGATCAGAATGGAACCGTTCTGATAGCTGGTATATGTGTCAGCTGAACTGTCAATCGACAACAATGCACATCTCCAAGACTCCGTTGTCCTGTTCACTTTCTTTCTCCAATAGAAGATCATTTACATACCCAATGGCATATGTTCGGCAGTCAGAGGCCGGCGCCAAAGCTGTAATGGGGTCGAAAATGGTCCTCGTCGAGACATGCTCCGAAGTGGAAGGCTCGAAAAGAATGACATCGCCCTTTCCGTTTCCTTCCGGCTCATCAGCATGCATACTCGTGGGTTGTGAGGGCAAGGTCCTCCTTACCAAACGCTACATTGCCATTACGCATCCAGGCAGCTACTCGTAGATGATCAAACGCTGCAAACCGAGCGAGTTCAGCTCCGGTAAAAAGATCCCATACGATCGTCGTCTGTCCCGTGTCATAACTGGCGACTAGTCTTCCTGAACCTCGTTCGCTAACATTGTCCACCGATATGAAAGAAATATCAGACTTGTGATGGTCGAACCGTCTCTCGAGCGCGAGGGTGTCATGATGGAGGCAATTGATCACCGATCCTTGAGCGTAGAGGAATAACGAGGCTGTCGACGCACATGGTTCGAACGTGGTTTCCGGTGCCTGTGATTGAGGCGTCGGCGGCGCAACCGGAGGCGCCATTGGTTTGATTGTTGTACTTTTTGTCTCAGGAAGGGGATTTCTGTTCCATGTCAATTCAACCATTCTTCGGATCTTGCGGTTGAGTTGCCGGCCTGCAAGCAGAGTGAGACAGCGTCTACTTCTTCTCTGACTCGCCGTCCACACGTATTGTACGGCGACTACCGGATTCGAGCTCGCTTATCCGAGTTCGATGTTCTATCGCAGATCTCCGGAAGCGTTGGCGCAAGTGGAGTGACAGAATGGGTATTGTTCGACAGTATAGACAATCCTCAACAGCATTCCCACAGCTTCGGTGTTGCTCGCAGAGAGATAATTTAGAACAGTTTGGTTATGACCGAGCAGAGTACTATCCAGCTAATCACAGCTTTATCGTAGCCTCGATGACGAGATACAGTCCGCTGAATTAGTACAAAGCTTCGGTCTCGGGACATGGACTCTGAGGAAAAAGCAGAAAGAGAACCGACAAGACGGTCCGGCCCACCGTAGGAGTAGGGTAAGAGGGAAACGGAAAAATGGCAAAAGCTATAACGAGAATAATAAGGTCAAGTCTTTTCGAAAATAGGCGAGAAGTGCGGTTATGCAAGGCCAGCAACCGCAAGGTATCGCAGATGCAGGCGACTGACAAGGAATAGTATGCACTAGGCGGGCTACCACGTTATATGGAGGGGGAAGTACATAAGAGAAGAGCCGGGAAGGATTTGAAAGTCCAGGAAACCAAGGAATAGGGGTTTCAGAAGAGTCCACAATGGAGACTGTTTTCTGTGATGGAGCAAGTGAGCGACGACCGAAAGGGTGTGATTCGACATTCCCTACGACTCGACCCTCGTCGATAATCAGTTATACCATGGGGAAAAGGTACAAAACGGTTGGAAGGCGGCACTAAGTTACCCTAGTCAATGATCGAACTCACCAGCCACCAAGCAATGGCAGCTCGCGCCAAGGGGAGGTCGATGGCGCTTGGTCTGTATCGGGAGGAGGAGACAGTGATTCCATGACTTCATTAGTGGACGAGCATAAATGAGGGAAAGCGAGTGTATCCAGTGACATGTTGATTGCATTTGATACCTCTCCAGCGCTAAAGCAATACAGCACACTAGCGAGATATCTGCCAGCCATACAGCGGTACAGCCACAGCACACAGGACACGAGACTGCAGAGGGCGGACGGACAGACAGGCAGCCGAATGGATTTGGAGAGGAGAATCAGCGCTAACAAGATTGACTAAGGCAGTGGAAGGAATTAAAAGTCGATCAAACTCATAGCGGACATGGTCGGACGGAAGAAATGTGCGAGATGTTGCAGCTCCTAGCGGTAGTGAGACCTGGGCATAGCACGATCATAGGATGCTTTGCATCCGGGAAAGTTTGGAGCTAACATGGGAATTAAACAAAAATAGCCAATTTTTTATAACGTACGGACAGAAGATAATCCATCGGCATGATGATCATTTTCTATTATTGCCAATTATCTCTCTCCAGGGGACGATAAGTATGGTTCTTAATTTCCAATGAGAGACAGGTCAAGAACACGCCTACAGCAGAAGCAAGCTAAGCCAGTGATCCAGCAATCCTGTGAAAGACTTCCACCATTTCAAGGCGGGGTTAGGACGAATTATGCGTATGGTCAGATGTTAACAGGAATTCTTCTTCTGGACGGCCCTAGGATGATGCTGCCAGGGACCCCTAGAACGAGCGCTGATTGGCTGGCAGCAATGCAGAAGGCGTTTCTTCACACTGCAGGTCTCATCACCCGGATCAGCCAATCACATCCCATAGCGGCCCTGTCATCCCCCTCCCGTGATCAACTGGGCGCGTATTTTAACAGGTTCAATGAAGATAACTGGATGCTTCAGATGGCCGAAGGACCGTCTCTCAGCTCGTAGCTACTTCAGGTGCTCAAAGCAGAAGATCTAGGAAAGTAACGAAGTCGGCATGGTCGCGAGAACTGATTCCTTCGACCAGTGTGCCGAAGTATATCTATCTATGGTGCGCCTAATTAGAGAGGCAGGATACGCTGCAACAGTATTTCCAAATAGGAGACACTAGATAAACCTTGAATCTCAGAGCTCACCAAGTATACCCGATTTGGCCATTTCCTACGATGCAATGTGATGTGATGATCAAGTGCTCTGTACCTCAGAAGTACTGCGGAGATGCCCGACGAGCTCACGACCAATATGCGGCTTCAAAATCAATATCCAGCCAGGATGGTGTGATAAGGAATCCAGCCTCTGCTCGTATGTGATTGTGATCCGATCCATGGCGGCTTGCTAGTAATCACTCGAGCGATAAGATTTGGCGGGGTCAAAGAGACGGTTGAACTGTCATGTCAAAAGCTCCGACAGTTCAAAAGCAAGCATGGCCTAGCCTCAACTGCTCCTCTATACATAGAATTGTAGACAGAGTTTGACAGAAGGAAATGATAACACAACAAACTGAATAACCTCATACCACCGAACCATGATCGGAAACTCCAACGTCACTTTTCTGATAACGGCAATGGTTCGGGACCCCAACATGCGGGGATCCGCTTATCTATCTCCATCTCACAATGCGACAACCACAGTCCAATGGTCTGTTTGACCGAGGACGTTGCGTTGGATCGACTACACCGTGTATCTTAGAAAATGAATAACGAAACCATAGTCGTCATCGGGTACGTCGGTTCCCCTCAAAACCAACAGCACACAATAACCCGAATATATAACGCTGACTCATTCCAGCGCTGGCGTAGTCGGCCTCACCACAGCCCTCCACATCCAACAACACCTTCACCCCTCTCAAAACGTCCTCATCGTCGCCAGAGAATTCCCCAACACCACCTCCCTCAACTATGCTTCGCCCTGGGCCGGCGCGCACTACCGCCCCGTTCCAGGATCCTCGCCGCAATCCGCACGCGAAAACAGCCAAGCACGCCGCACATATGAGTACTTCAAGCACCTCGCAGCGGAGGACCCCTCATCAGGCGTCCAACTCATCGACGGTGAGGAACACCTCGAGTCCCCGCCGTCGGAGTACCTACACGAAGCCAACATCCAAAGTGCGTACGCGCATCTGGACGGCTTCCGCCGCCTGACGGCCGACGAGACTCCCCCCGAGGTGAAATGGGGCGTGCGCTATCGCACCTACGTGGTCAACTCGCCAGTCTACTGCGCCTATCTGCTTCGGAAGTTCGTCCTCAACGGCGGCCAGACAAGAGAGTACACGCTCGTTGATCCGATGGAGGCGTTTGAGCTGCCGGGGACGGAGACTGGGACCGTTACGACGGTCGTTAACTGCTCCGGGCTGGGATTCGGGGATCCCAAATCGTTCATCATTCGAGGTACGAGCTTCTGCTTGTTCAGTTTCTGATACAGCTGCTGATAAAGGCTATCAGGGCAAACGTGTCTTGTCCGCAATCCCTGCTCTGTGACCATCACCCGCCAGAACTCGGACGGCACCTGGTCCTTCTGCATCCCCCGGCCTTTGAGCGGTGGCACAATCATCGGCGGCACCAAGCAACCGCACGATTGGAGTCCGACACCCTCACTTGAGACGAGGAAGCAGCTTCTCGCCAATGCGGCGAAATGGTTCCCGTTTTCAAAGGAGAGTGGTGGTCAGTTCGATGTCATCCGTGACATTGTCGGACGGAGGCCGGCGAGGGAAGGGGGAATGAGGATCGAGGCGGAGAGAGTGGGTGGTGATCGCTTCATTGTACATGCCTATGGGGCGGGAGGACGCGGGTTCGAGTTATCGTGGGGTGTTGCGCAGGATGTAGTGCAGTTGATGTTTGAGAATGGGTTGGCGCGGCAGAAGGCGTCGTTGTAGATAGTCCTTGGGTCAGTACTCAAGGCTCGTTCTACGAACAATAAAGTGCTATCAGTCGCTGATCGACTGCATTCCTTGGCTGATGGAACCTAAAACGTTTGATGCAAAGCATTGAGATGTAGCGCTAAATCTAGTCAAAATCATTTTCTACGTACAAAAACGGCACACAGAATGCCGGCCTCTGTTTTCTGCATCCACGTTACACATGACTGCCTCAATCATGTGTCGCCTTGTGCCTCTGCCCTTCCATACACGCATTGGGACATCGGTCCCAAAATCCCTGTGGATGCATAGGAGTACGTACGGAAATGACAGAGGACAAAGCGTCAACGCCCACCCGGCAGATATCCCAGTCCTGGTTATCAACACGATCACCATCACGGGCCCGGACATCCGCCTGGGACGCCGGTTCCAGTGTGGGAGGTGCCATGCCCGAATTCGAAAGCCCAAGTTGTTAGAATCTCGGGTGAGTCGCATCGACTCAGCCTTCGCCCTCTTGGGCAAGGGTCTCGTCGTTCGAAGACGGCGTGACAGAAATACCAGCCAGTCGGGCAAGACGTTCCTCTTCTTTCCTCTCCCGTATCTTTTCGGTCTCCCTCCGCAGGGCTTCCAGGTTCCAGGTTCCATCGTCTTCGTCTTCGTCCTCGCTCTCCTCCTCCGCACGCCAGTTGCCGCTCTCGAACAGAGCGCGTCCTGTGGCCTCCTTGGCCTTGCGGGCCTGTTCCTCTGCAGCCTTCTTATCCAGACGCTCCTTCTTCCACTTGGCGAAGGTCTCGGGTGTCACCGGTGTCAAGTTGCCGGTGAGCTTGTGACGTTCTGATTCGAGCCAGTCCTCCAGGGTTAGTGTGTTCAATGGAGACTTGTCCATCATAGCCTTCTCAGCAGCTCTTTGTTCCTTTGTCTTCAACACGAATCTATACGAATATGTTAGCTTTGGGTCATCGTGCTCGAAATCCTGTACTGAAACATACCCAGGTGGCAAGCTGTGTTTGTACATGCACTTGTCTCCTCCATTGGGACAAACCCAGAACCAACCGTACTTCTGGTTCTCGACGGCCTCAATGAAGTACTTGCAAACCTTCTCGGTAGTCGTCCGAGGGTTGCCGTGCTTGCTGAGAACAACTTTGCGAAGTTTCTCTTCGTCCCACTGGTCCATCGTGTCGCCCTTCTTCGCCTCCTCCTCCTCAGTCTTCG